GCCAAGGGATGTTCAATTTATTTTGAGGGCAGACAGAGTAGACTGTAAGAGTGAACATTTGGTTCTACTACTAATACTAAGACTTCCATATGCATCTTGCCTCTGTATGCCTAGAATACCTTGGGGCAGAAGTTTTGTTGAGCAATCAGATGACTGAACAAATGTCCATTAAAAAAAATAACTATTAAAAACAAAGGCAGCATGGTTTTTAACTGATGGTTTAATACACTACAGGAAGGTGACATTAGGCAACAATTAGTGATTGAGTAAATGACCATCATGTGATGAAAAGCACAACAACCTAGAATCAAGTTTCCCATCTCAACAGAATCATGCTTACAGAAAGTGAAACTATCAATAGCAAACAAGCTAGAATCAAGTTTCTCATCACAACAGAATCATGCTTAAAGACAGCGAAATTAGTGATCGATAGCAAACTACCCTTACCATTGAAATAGCACGCTTTCAGGAGGTATATGAATACCAATGGAGAAATATGTGTTAGGTCAGAAAATGCATGCTTGCAAATAGTCGATGTCTGATTAAATTTGCCTTGCTTGCTATGTGTGTCGACCCTTTCCTCCAATCCCATGCCAGAATGAAACAGTGATGGTCCTCAGAAACTGAACCAAAATTTGTTTGAAATAGCAAGTGAGTTACAGAACGAATATCACTTCCAAGACTACTTCAATGCAAAAAATAAAATCTAGCAACTGTGACCCCACAACTTACTCTCTTGGTCTCTTATAGATCATTCAATTGCAAGTAACAAAGCCAAGGTTATCTATCAATACTCAAACCCTGTGAAGATATAACAGTTGGTTAGGCAATAAACAAAATCCAGTTAAGAAAAAACAGTATGCACACTACCAACTAGGCAGTTTATTTCATTTCTTAATTTAAAAAAATTAATTAATTGAAGACTGAAAATAAGTTTTATTTACAATCAAGCTTGGCCATTTAATCAATGATCAGCATAACAGAGGCTCTACAAGTAGCATAGCGCACAAATAATCCAAGAACTAGCTGATATGTCTTCGTATAACGCTAAAAAATTAGTCATATAAAGAGCATTTAAATGGTACAGCATCAAGTTATAATGAGAACAGAACTTCTTTTACAGTGCAGCTGAACTACCATTAAGCATTGATCAAAGCATTACAAATCACACAAACCCATATGTTATATATGAAAAAATCACACAAACATACAGAAACACAAACCCATATGTTATATATGAAAAATATCACACAAACATGCACGAAAGCATTAAGCATTGACCATTGAGGCGGAGAAAAAAAATAAAGAAAAAAAAAAACTATTTTCTATAATAAGAGAGAGAAACTATTTTAAACAGCACAGAAGTTTAGTTTCTAACAGCATAAGAAGAAAAAGAAATGGCAAAATGAAAGTTAAACACTCGGAATTTTCTTTTCGTTTGAGTTCTTCAATTTTCTTAGCAACCAAACAGTGCCTGCCGAAACTTACCGTTTTTATCGCTCTGTAAACTCTGCCGTCGAGCTTCCTTAACTTTTCGCCCCAACGCTATATATATAGAGAATAGAGAACTGGCTACACAAATTTTTATTTTTATTTTTATTTTTAAAAAAAGTCAAAGAGAATCAGAAGGCACTGCAATACGGGGTGGCCCACCGGATTTTTTTTCTTTCCGAAAATGGCAAAACAAAAAAAAAAGCTTTTATTTCATGCGAAGTCGCAAACGGATCATTCTCTCTAAAAGGCTTGTGGTGGCGGATGCTATAATGCGCCAGGTGATTCGTTGAGCGCAGTTGTCCTGGAAAGGAAAGGGAACGTGATGATGAGGACCAAGGCCACTTGTTCTGAGTAATTTGGTGCGAGAGTGCCCATGCTAAGATTGGCTATTGTGCAAATCCTATCCACTGGTTTTTCATACTCTTTATTTTTTTGTTACAATATTTATTTTCACTCTTTTGATGAGTGGCCAAGGGCATTTCATAACTCTTCAATTTTCTAGGTAATTTCGAGTAAAATTTCGGGGTAGTAAAGTCTTTTGGGAAACTCTCAAGTAGTAAAGTGAAATTTGAAATGCAATATGTAAATATGAAATGCGCGCACATATATATATATATATATATAATGAAAGGCACGTGATGTGTCCGTTATCTATATATATAAAGCAAAATGTAGAGAATGGTGAAACATTCAAAATACCAAAAAATGTTATTGATTAATGCAAACATTAAGAATTGAAATTATTAATTAAATGAGGATAATATGGTAAATTCATATTTTTTTCATATTAAAAAAAAACAGATAATTGATCCTATTTTTATGGAACACAACTACCCATTATCTTTTTTAATTCTAAAATAAATGTATTTTTTTTATAAAAAAAAGCCTCTCGCAGGCGCGGAAGCGCGTGCAGAGAGGCTAGTATATATCAAATACAAGCGATCATTATAGAAACTGTATAAATATGAGAAACGTTTAATTGTAACATGTATATACAAATTGGTTTATATAAGTTTTTCTCCACAAATTTGTTATTACAAAAAAGGTCATATAGCAATTGGGGGCAAAAGGTTGGTGTCGCAGGGCATCATTACTTATTGTGTAAATGGGACTTCGCGCTGGGCATGGACCTTGCATCGTGCTCATGATGAGTATAAGATAATCGGACGAACCAACAACTGGATAAGATTGACTCCAAGTAGACTTCAACTACAGTCGGTAAACTGGAAATATACATAAAATAAAATATTTATTTGTTTTTTTGTTGTTAGTCAGAACTAAAAAGATGGTGGAGTTTTTTTCACACACGTTGTCAAGGTGTTATGCGAGTTCGAATTTGAGATTATAATTATTGTTCTTTTGGTAAACAATTGAATGTGTTTTTGGATGTGACTTTAGAGCTTTTGGTGACAGGCTTTGAAAGTTGAGTTTCACCGTTATGCATTTGCGGCCTGCAAGAAAAAACTGCAATTTCATAGTTTTATTCAAAAAGATCACCACCCTTTTTCAACTTCTGGGCTTTGGCCCGACAGGCCCCCCAATACATTTGATGTTACATACTGACGCGTGTCGTATACAGTTGATGGACCATCCTTTACCCATTGACACATCAAGTACACGTACGATGCCTGCCTGGACAACAAGAAAAGAAGATAAAATTTGGTCTGTTACATACAATGTAACGTTCTAATAAAAGAGGTCACAATCACATGACTCACACCATAGTCTTTTAAGATTATTTAAGTCTATTTGGTAGCGCTTTTGACATGGCTAAAATTACTTATTGACAATTAAAAACACTTATGACAACGTCTGTAAGTACTTATGGGTTATAGAAAAGCTTTATATAGAAGCACAGTGCATCCTCATAAAGCGCTTAGATTTTTAATAATTTTTTTTCACATTCTTCTAATGGAAGCACTTCTAAAAGGGTGCTTATAAACATAAACATTCTCAAACGAGCCGTAACTAACACATTTTGTGATTGTTTATGAAAGTCACTCGTTGTGATGTCAGCCATTGTATGATATAAATTTGTTAATACAAACTATAAAGTAACATTAATCTAATACTTTAACCTTAGAATCTATTATTATCTTATGCTATATTCATAAAATTGATCAAGTTGGTGTATTCCACGTCGTACATGAGTACAAAAAAGGGTGTGCAATCAATGGGCTTTTGCAAAATTAGATGCGATATGAATCATGAAATGGCGTCACTGTCATTTAGCCATGTGTGGTCAGAAAGAAAAATGATGAACTTTCTGAAACTTTTGTAAACAAAACAATTCAGGGAGCTGATGAGATACCCAATTGGTGGTGAAAATTCATCATTCATTTTAAGACAAATATTTTGTTAAGCTGTCTATTTCATTATACTGTTTATGCAATGCACTTTTGTTCATGTTGTCATGCACTGCCTTAGTCACTGTCCACATATGTTTTTCAATACAAAGATGATTTTTATTTTGTTTTATTTTATCCAGGAGGACAAGACAAGTAGCACCAGATTATGCCAAAGTCATTCAGTGATATGACCCCTACTTGCTGCTCAATGTGCATTATAAACCCTATCATGATTATAGATCAAGAAAACAACAGCACCACCATAACTTGAGGACAAGGATGCCAACTTGATTGGGTAAATATTATAAGGGAGATTAGAGAAAGCATAAAATTACTTACTGACTGAGTGAGTTTGAACTCATTCGAACTTGAAGGAAATGAGCCTAGTTCTAGTTCAGGGAGAAAAACTTCCTTATCATCGATTGCATACAACTAGTTACACCTACTCCGACCGTAATCCTAAGTAGGTTAAGCTCACCAACATATACGGTGGAGGCAAGTTTCATACTATGCGTTGGACTAAGCTAGAAAGAGCTTGTGTATGTACCCTTCTGTCTAGATCTGTTCTACACTCTCAATTCAACTGTCCTCCATCCAAATGCATTATGCAATATGCAATATGCATTATGATTAGGGTTAAGTCGCAAGTTTGGTGATATGGGTCACCCTATTTCACACACTATGGTTGGTATTCAATTTGGAACAAGACAAAAGGGCATGTGAATGTAAATGATGTGCCATCAGTGACCACACTTGCTACTGGTACGTGACGTCTATGATAAATCCTTCTCCTATCGTGAAAATGAATAGGACCGCCAAAACTACCACGGTGAGTAATTTGGTGATGAAAACAACCTTCGCCTAAATTAAAGTGTCAAAAGCACATGTTCATAGCTTTTAGGCCAACCAGATATCATGGGTTACAATTCCAAATATCATGTTCAGACTCTGGAGGACCAAGCCTGCTCTATACATCCATTCCATCTCATCCGACCACTCTCTAGATTGTGACAAATACTAGTTTGACTCTCCTTGGAGAAATTAACAGAGCCAAAGATACTCATATTATTGCCTAACAGATGATACTATTTTCCATGGTAATAATACGCCTTCAGCGTTTTGACTTTACTAGATCACACATTTTTCTATTGCCTTCTGTGAATACGTGGGATCAACAAGAGAGGAAAGAAAGAGAAAGGAGGGGGGAAGGAACTTGGGTGATAAGTCTCAACTCAAATGAGTACCCAATAAGCATATGGCAACTGAACCATTGTATTTCACATCCTTGCAACCCAGCTGAAAAATAAAAAAAGATCCAAGACTTTCATTTATCTTTCCCTTTGGCCTATACGTAAATCTTATCTGTTATAGACTAAAAGGACATACAACTTTTTCTGTTACACATTGAAATTCTGAGATTAAAACTATTACAATTTAATGGACAATACCTCCAATTCTCCAGCTTGTGCTCTGTTTCAGTTGAACCACATCATCTGGGACAAATGAGTCTGTATCAACACCACAATTCAACCCATGAGCTCCACGTCAATGGTTCACACGAGCTATCCTGCAACTTGGGCAACATGACTGTCCTTCCATGCCAATGCCTGTACATTCTCTCAATCATAAAGTGTGATCTACTATCAGATTACTAAAATTGTACGGCATGAACTGCTCATATCACTTATCAAATATGAAAGCGGCATTGCAAAAGGAATAACAGGTGTTATGATCTAGACAGCATGGAACCTTGTATATGCTGAATTTATGGGTTATATGAACTTTTTCAAGACATATCAAGTGACACCTTGTGTGAAGATATCCTTATCTCTCAGACATCCTGAAACACTTGAAGGAACAAGGAGGAGTAGTTCTTCATGGAATACCTGAAGGCAACAAATATAAGTCCATCTTTTATTGTAATAAAGAAAATACAGTTAGATAAGAAAATTTAATAATAATAATAATAGGGAATTTAAAAAAAAAAGAAATTACCATCTTAAAGTGTTCTAATTCTTGCCTTAGGTCATCTCCAATATCCTCAGCTAAAGGCTCTAGAATGCAAGGTGGGGAATTTTGAACTTTTACACCACCGCATGCCTAAAAACAAAAGAAATTGCATGAGTTAGTTGCCTTAAGCAGCACTCAAGATTTAAGTTAGTAAATAAGCTATGATAGATGCAATCTTGGTGTCATATTTTATAGCCTCTACACATTCTGTGGGGGAAAATTACAAAGCAAATGCAGAGCAGATAGACCAAACAAGCTTATGTGATAGTTAAAATGCATTGGATATCTTGATGTCCCTACCACCAGTCCAATGGTCTGCTTAACTGCAGAACTTAAGATGAAAGTTCTGCTTTGTATCATCAATTTGGAAGAATACAATAACAACAACCGAGCCTTTCTTTTCCCCCTTGGGCACAAGAAGTTGTATGCATATGCAAATATCACTAATTTTATTTTTAAAAAGCAATAAAAATACTACTCTACTGTTAATAGTACAGGACATGTTTGACTCTATGTAGTTTTATAAAAAAAACAATCTACAAATGCTAAGAAAAAGAACCCTACTTTAGGAGGGAAAGTTTGATTGAAAACTAGATTGGAGAATACCAGTTTAAAACCTTCGTAAGAATGTGAAAATTCCATTTGTTGGAAATCAATGCGTCGATGTTGTTGTAGTGCAACTGAAATACGGATAATTGCACATAGAAATCTGAATTTCTTTTTGACCTGAAAGTGAAAAAGAAAGTATGCAGAAATAAACATAAAAGCACAAATAAGTAAAGTTCTCAAAATATTAGATGTGTTTAAAAAGATACTACCTCTGTTGGAAACTCCTTAAAGGAAACATGACCAAAGTTTGGTAATTTCTTCCTGTGGTGTCTTGCAAGTAGTGCTATCAGCTGTAGATTCACTAATTGATTATCACTAAAGTGACTACACAAAGTATGCACCAGGAAAGAGCACACAAATAGACACTTGACATACCTTGACCTCCTCAGTACTGTAACCTTGAAGATGGCCACCATTCTACACAAAAAAGATTTAGCTCATCAAAGATTAATAATTAAATAGAACTTCAAGTTTTATTTTACACGTGCAGAATGTTTCCAGCTGATTCTCAATGCACGTTTATTGAATTATTAAGAGGAAAAAAAAAAAACATTACCATGATAATAGAATAAGAATGCTTATGGTAACCCTTTTTCTCGATGGAAAGCCCAATATTGTGAAGCAAACATGATGCTTCAAGATACTCAAGATCCTTGTCATCTAGGGAGGCAGCAACTTGATTGCCAGCAAGCTCATCACATTTTCTTAAACATTCAAAAAATTCCTGCAAAAAATCATCTCCTCAAAACACTAGATGTTGCAATCGCTTCCGCTTATATCACAGATACTTAGAAGAAAAAAAATCAAAAAAAGAAATTCACCGAATACCTTTGCAATGCTAGCACACTGAGAAGCCGCTCTCATCCTCTTGTTGCTATTAAATCTCATTGCGAGCCGCACAATAGACGACCACTTTGCATTGGCATTCAAATCATAATCATTAACCTTAGCTAAAGTTTCTGCAATAACACCTTCTGCCAATGAATACCCAGAAATCTCCATTTCCTCAATGCCAATTACCTCAAATATCTCCTCCAATAGCACAGCCCCGGCAACGATAAACTCGGACCGCATTTTAAAGAACTTCTCCCTCCTAATCTTCTCTGCCTCTCCTCCACCACATAAACTCTCAACAACACCCTTCAGTTCTCCTCTACTTAACTTCCAATACCTCTTACTGTCCCCAAAAGAAACCATATTCCCGACCTGGAGCATATTGCTCACATTGGCATACCCATAAAGGGCTGCTTTTTCTACTGCCTTTATAGTACCCGAAGATCCGACAACAGCCTCAAAGCCACAATCTTTAATCTTGTCAACTAACCCAGATTCTTGAACAACCAATCTAATGTGCTCCCTCATATGTGCAACATTTTCTTCATTGTTCCCAAACTTTTGGGTCAAATTCACATGTCCCAGCTTCAATGAAGCACCAAAAATGACTTTTCCTTGCTTCCCAATTACAAACTCAGTAGACCCACCTCCAATATCCACACCCAGCACCAATTTCTCATATATTGGAAAAAACTGAAGCATACCCAGATACTCAAGCCTAGCTTCCTGTTCACCAGGCAACACATCTATCTCTAAACCAACCTCTTCCCTCACACATTTCAAAAACCCAACATTGTTCACAGCTTCACGTACAGCTGCAGTGGCAACACAGCGGACATGGGTTTTGTTGATTTTGTAGGATTTCAAGATGTTCTGAAATCTTTTAAGGGCTTCAAGGGCAAGGAGCTGGGAGTGATGTGAAAGTGTAAAAGGGGTTGTTGTTGATGATGTGCTGGTATCACGGCCAAGAACCACAGGCTCTTTGAATTGGTCTATGGTGAAGAATTTGCCATTTGGGTATGCACGAACTATGAGCATCTTGAACGAATTTGTACCCATGTCAATGGCTGCAAAGAGTGTTGAAGGGGCTGGTGGGTCTGTGGTAGCAGAGGCCATTTCTCTTGGAAATTGGTATCTGGGATTTTGGTGATTTTGATTTGGAGGCCAAATTTGCTGTATCGATTTCCAGGTATGACTCTCTGCTCTGCGTTTACAAGATGAGAATTCAGAAAGGGAATGCTAGCAACCTTCTCTTTTAATTTTCTCTTTGAGCCTTTTTTTTAGCTTAACACGTGTCATTCTCCTGTCACTTAAAACAATGTCATTAATATATTTTACAAGTTAACTTTTGTTTTCCAAATTTACCTTTATTAAATGTATTCAATTTATCCGAAAAAATTCACAACTTTCTTACCATCTTTTTTTTTTAAACGTCAATTTTTTTAAAAGAAAATGTCTGCTTTTTTCAAAAAAGAGGAAATGTTCGTTTTTAAGGACTTAAAAAAAAAATCTAAACTCTTTGTGTTTATAAAAGAAAAAAAAAAGAAAAAAAAGGGGATATTTCCTCTTAAAAGCATATATTTTCTTTTTTAAAAAAATAATTGATGTTAGAAAAAAAAATTAATAAGATGGTAAGAAAGTTGTAAATTTTTTTTGAATAAATTAAATACATTTAATAAGGGTAAATTTGGAAAGCAAAAGTTAGCTTGTAAAATATATTAATGACATTGTTTTAAGTGTAAGAAGAATGACGCATGTCAAGCCAAAAAAAGATAAAATTAAAGAAAATGTTGCTAGTATTCCTCATTCAGCCTCTTTCTTTCTGTTTTTTTTCTGATGTAAATTCTTATGTTTTTTTTTTTTTTTTTTTTTTTTTGGTCAATAAATTCTTATGTTTTAAGCTCTAAAAATGATGTGTGTGCTGTCGTCTGCACGAATTTCGTGAAATATGGTTTTCTTATTTTCTTCATCATTCGATTAACATCATTTGACTATTCTGATAATCAAATGAGATGACTAATTAAAGGGTCTTTGTTATATGTGATTTCTAGCTAACATCTTTTAATTCTTTCTTTTTGGGCTAACACATGATATTTGTTTGCATATATAAAAAAAAATGTCAAGTCTTAAGCAAGAAAGGATCTCAAAAGAATGCGGAAAACATTATTAGAATACTAAAACAGTATAATTTTTGTCCTCAAGTGCTTGAAGAAGTACTTTAAAATGTGCTTAGTCAATACTGATGCTTGCTTGCATCAGAACTCAGAACAGTTAGAATAGAAATGCTTCCCGGGTCCGAGGAAGACTTAGAAAAGAGTGTATGCTCTAGCTCCAGAGAGGTTCCCAGAATTTTCCCGGAAAATAGATTCCTAGAAAACTGTATACACCGGAAAATTTCGCAGAACATGCAAAAATATGCAATCTCACCAACCAAGTTGAAGTCAGTCAAGTGACCTAACAGTCCCTCACTAGAAGACCCATAGTTATGTTTTTTTAATCTTTCATCAGCTTCTCTTTTCTGCTTTATATTCAGATCAAAAATCAACCCTTTTACGGGTGGGCAGACAAAGATAGTGACATAGTCAAGTTAGTGGAAGCTGCAGGCTAGCAGATATAATTTTAAATCGCGTTATACATATACGAGCTGCAACTCTAGCTAGGACTTTGCATGGAAATTCAAATGAAATTTCAGATCAAATTTCAGGGAAATGGGTTCTGTTTTTAGAACCACAATCTTTGATGCTGTCACAAACATAAACAAACAAACGCGTATATATGGAAAATCAACATATTGTCTGCACCTTCTTGCAACCTTCATATCATCGTCTATGCTACTCTCTAACACGCGTTGTCTCATGTCTATCCACGTGGATTTCAATTTTTTTTTGGTCACTGACTTTCTTTGTCATGTATCTCATGGCATTAAACTGTTTTGAGTACTTTTCAATCACGACGCGTCTGATTAGTTATCGTCTTAAATTCCAATGCTTGAGAATCTTGAATTTGTTCGTTTTTTCTTTAAAAATGAGACAAAAGTACAGACAGTCATCGATAAATCCTATATAGCTCAGGCCACTTTGTAATATCCAAAAATATTAATATCATAATACAGATTTTGGGTTCTTTTTGGTTCATAGTATGAGCTCATCTCTGCTTGACTTTCATGGTTAGCGTGTTTCTTGTTACTATTATGAACCTTCCTTGTACCTTCTTTCTGTTCTGTCCATTTAAAGGGTCAATCTCAGCTTGTATTTAAAGCCACTTTGTTTGATTGATTTGGTTACATGCGCTTCGCTTGTTTGAAATCCTTGTGAGCTTTTGAGAGAACAACTTGTTGCTGTTGTTGGGTGGTTGGAGAAAATTTAGTTGTTGGGTTTTTGATGGTACCTAAGAGGCATTTTCATGAGGAGGGTGGTGAGGACTTCGAATTTCCTGTTCCAGAATCGAAACGCAGGCCTACTTTCAAGAAGTGGGTGGTTTAGTTTGAGTAGAAGTTGGTGCTTTGTTTTGTGCTTTCTGGGTGATGACTTTGGTTTCTGACTATGAGTTTTGCGATATTTGTGCAGTGTTGTTAGAGATGTGATGAGAGATGTCACAGTGAACCAAGTCGAATGGGAACACTTCTTTCGGAAAGTGGTTAGATTCGAATCTCCCTTATTTGTCAATATGAAGTTGATCTGCAAAAGTTGTACTGTTTAACAGTAATTATCATTGCCATGCCTTTATTCATGTCTTGCACTTGCTCTGTAAAAGGAACAAAATCCCATTTTCATGGTTTGTTCATTGCTATGCTTTCTCAGTTTTATTGACTTTGATTAGGAAGACCCTGTTCTTGACCAAAAAAGAAGACTCTGCTTAATTAACTACTACAAGGAAACTCTTATTGACTGTTAGGTTTGATATGCCATTAGCCTTCCCAAAAAGAACATATATTTTATAACTGTTTTGCTTTTTAGACTTCAGTTAGAAGATATGTTATGCGAATGTGTTTGAAATCCTTTTCGGGTTGTGACAATTCATAACGAACCACTTCAAATTTGTGTCATATAGGTACGAGAGGAGGTCGAACGTGTGATCATTCCCTTCCTTAAGGCATCTCCAAGGTTAGCTTTTCAAGTCAAATATTTGTTGACTTAGAAAACCTGCACTAAATTGTTTTATTTATCTGACAATTATAATCTTCTCTTAATCCTCAAAGCTTCCTGACAAGAGTTTTGGATTTGTTGTTAATTTTGTAACAGGCCCCCACTTGAAAGTGGAAGTTCATCTGGAGGAAGAGGCTTGCAGTTGCGTTTTATCAATAAACTGCCGTCTACCATATTTACAGGCAGTAGGGTGGAAGCAGAGGATGGCACACCTCTTCAAATTATACTGATTGATGCCAGTACTAATAGTATAGTCCGTTCCAGTCCCCTATCTTCAATAAAGATTGAACTTCTGGTCCTCAATGGTGAATTTGGGTCTGATGATCAAGAGGATTGGACCGAGAAAGAATTCAATAACTATGTTGTGCGCGAAAGAGAAGGCAAAAGGCCACTGGTGACTGGTGAGATCAACATTACACTGAGAGAGGGAGTTGGTTCTCTTGGTGATGTTGTCTTCACTGACAACTCAAGCTGGATAAGGTGCCGGAAGTTCAGATTAGCAGCTAGGGTTGTAGCCAAAGCTCCTAGTGAAGTGCGAATTAGAGAAGCTAGAAGTGAACCTTTCGTGGTAAAAGATCACCGTGGAGAGTGTAAGTTCAAGAAACTCAACTCACTAACCATCTCTTTCATTATTTGCTTGTGGTGTGCTTTATAGTAACAATTTCAGTCTAAATGAAAATGACAAAGAAAATGTTGATTCAGTGTATAGGAAACACCATCCTCCATCCTTAAATGATGAGATATGGCGCCTGGAAAAGATAGCAAAAGAAGGCGCCTTCCACAAGAGATTATCTCGTTTCGGAATTGACACTGTGAAGGACTTCCTGCAGTCATATGTGAAAGATCCATCCTGGCTACGGAATGTAAGAGAGTCAGCTGTTCTGCTGGATAATGAGTCTATAGTGACTTATGTAGTTTGATCATCCATCTAATTTTCCGCTGTGAAAATGCAGATTTTTGAAGGGATCTCGAACAGGACATGGGAGATAATCATTGAACATGCTAAGGCTTGTGAGATAGATGATCACAAGTTCTATGCCTATCATAGAACTGAGCAAGATGTAAGTCTCCTGTTCAACTCCATCTACAAGGTTGTGGGAGCAATGGTTAATGGCCAATACTGTTCTCTGGATGAACTCACCCCACTTCAGACGGTATGCATACACATTTTGGAGCTCCTCCTATTTTTTAATATCTCACACTTTTTCTTGATCTGCTGTCATTTGTTGGTTGCTATGACTTTGTGCCTAACGTTTCTTTACCATATCATTACCACTGTTACTCTCCCTGTCTCTCTTGTTTTTTAATATATACCTTAGGATGAGAAACTGATGAGCTCCCTGGTTCTATTGGCAGAATCTGGTGGAAAATTTGAAGCAGCATGCTTACAGAAATGTAAGAGATATAGTCCCCGTGGATACTTCGGCGATATTTGCCCTTTCAAGGCCTCTGGCAAGTCTACAAGCTGAGTCATTCAATGTCCCAAATCCAGATCTGCAACAGATTGATTTGCAATTCACACAGCAAGGTAAAATGTTATATTGTGTAAAATGGTATTAAAGCCTGTTTGCCTGAAGTGTTTGAATGCTTATGTACATATTGGTAGTAAAGTTTTGAACAGCATGGCCTTCACATGATAAGAGGTTGGTGTTAACTTAAGGAATACATTCCAACTGTGTTAAGTTGCTCTTGGGTTATAGACTAGTCAATTTCATATTTCAAAGCACATGAAATAGCCTTGTAAATATACTTGAAATCATGACATGGTTGCTTGCTGGTTTTCTAGTTTTGCCATTATAATTTCCCTACTCAATATTATGCTTTTCCCAAGTAACTGAAACCAAGTAATTTGCACAGATGAACCCTCAATGCAACTAGGTTTCAACCAAGCATCAACCTCAACATCATGTCCCTATCAACCAGAAGTTAGCAATCATTTAGTGGTCTCTCTAGCACAGGCTAGTCATCCAATGCAAGTGTTCACTCCAGCGCTACGAAGCAGCTTTTCGATGGAGGATTTTAACTCCATGCACTACAATGGAGAAAGCAGTTGGCCGCCGCTCAATGGTTTTCAAGTGCCA